GTGGACTGCAGGCACGGAGCTTGCAGGGGGCAGCAGGCACGGAGCTTGCAGGGGGCAGCAGGCAGGGAGGCAGGGGCTTGCAGGGAGGAGGGGTGCTGTAGGGGCTGCAGGCAGGGGGCTTGCAGGGGGGGGAGGGTTGCTGCGGCGGGGGCTCGGCAGGGTGTGCGGCCCGGCGACCAGCCGCAACGCGGCGCCACTCCGGCGTGGCAGCCGGGGCACTCGCGCACGCACGCTGGCCCACGCGCTGCCTCGCCCCGCCCCCGACCGCCGCCCCCCGCAGGCTGCATCCCCGTGTTTGTGGGCGCGCCCTTCCACACGCTGCCGCTGGCCGGCGACGTCGACTACGCCAGCTTTGCGCTGTTTGTCAACGTGACAGACACCTCCGCCTGGGTCAACACCTCGTCGCCCAAGTGGGAGCACAACCACATGGTGCGTTGGCTGTGGCTGCGGCTGACATACAGAATAGAATAAATGCAGTAAGGATGAAAACAGCGGGCTGGTCGGCCAGCTGTGGGACGGCCTGTGGGCCCTGCCAGCTTGTGGGCCGCGGCCGCAGCGGGCCTGTGCTGCGTGCTGCCTGCCGAAACCCCTGCCAGCCGTTCTGTAGCGCTTGCGCTGTGTGCCGGCCCTGCTCATTCACCCCCCCTCTGCCCTTCCCCCTGCGCCCCACCTGGCGCAGATCAGCAAGGCCTGGAAGCTGGACGACCGTTCGGCAGAGGAGGGCATGGTGACGGTGCCGCGCCTGGCCGACCTGGTCACGCTGCTGCGCGGCATGCCGGCGGAGGAGGTGGCGGCGCGGCACGCGGGAGTGGTGGCCCACCGCCTCAAGTTCTGGTACCCCCCCGCCTCCGCCCAGGCCATCGCCACCTCGGTGGCCGCTGCGGGCGCCGCCTCCGCGGCCGGCGCCGGCATCGCCACCAGCGGCGCGCTGCTGCAGGGCGGGCGCGGCGGCGGCGGCGGCGGCGGCGCGGGCACCGGCGCGGCCGGCGCGCGCGTGCTGCGCGAGGGCGCGGCCGCCGCGGAGGCACTGCAGGGGCAGCTGGCGGCGGCGCGGGCGGGGCACAGCGTGCTGGGCGAGCTGCTGATGCGCAAGATGTGCCACCGCGCGGCGGCGGTGCAGAAGCGGCTGGCGGAGGCGGCGCAGCTGGGACTGGACTACCAGGACTCCGACGAGAAGGTGGAGCACCCCAGCCTCGCGCAGCAGGCGACGCCAGAGGAGGAGGAGGAGGAGGAGGCCGACGAGGTGGGTGGGCGGCGGGCGGCGGCGGGGAGGTGGCATAGGCGGGGGCTGGCTGCGCCGGCACGGGCCGCGGCGACGTGGGCGGGTGGCTTGGCGCGCTGCAGTGTTCCCGGCAGTGCCACACGCGTGGCTGCTGACCACCTGCTGCCGCTCCCGCTGTGAACCCCGTGCAGGCCGGCATGAAGCTGAGCAAGCGCTTGAGCAAGCGTGCCTGAGCGGGCGGCGGAGGAGG